ATACTGATTAAACAAGGGCCTACTGATTGGACAAGGGCCTACTGATCTTTTGACCGGTAGATCGACGGCCCAATCCGACACTATATGTAATTATCAGAGAAATTTGCAAATTTTAACAGGCATATAAGGCGATATTAGCACTATAATCAACCTAGTCTTTTTACATAAATTATTAAATGGTTATTTGGACAGTCAAAATGTATTGAGTCAATTATACAAATATTCATTATCCATTACAAAAAAATTGTCTTTGGTTTAACGTACTGTAACCGCCCACTCCCCGGTCTTGTAGCTAATTATTTAAAGCCCGTATATTAATTCAGCTACCTCCCTCCCCTTTTGAAATTCAAAGTAATTCATATTTACTGTATTTGGACTTTTTTTGTGTGATTGTCTAGTTAATTAATTGATAATTTATGTACCCACGTTGTGTTAATGTTAATTAAAATAACACAGGATTCGATGCAAAGTTTGGTACAAATTTGAGAATGAAATAATGCTCAAAAATATATTTAACTTTATTTTTGTTCTCAAATAAACTCAGTATGTACAAAATTTCTTTTAATATTGGGTAATGATAAATTATATTTCTCACCTAGACCTCACATGTGTCCCGCCCAAACAAACAGGCCACAGGCCACTTGCCATCAAATATATGTAATTAAAAAATTCTTGAGAATAGACAGTAGACGTCCTCAGAATTGCTGAGACACAGTCGTTTCAATAACAGACGGATATCCCTTATGTTTCAGTCTCACCAAGGGGAATTTTTTGTAGCGTAGTCCTACTATAATAATGCTAGATCGATACCAGCGAACTACCCCTTATGTTCAGATCTACCTACGGTGCGAAGATTGAGAGATAATTATCTAAGATAGTCCAACCCTGTAGTAACATCAAGTATAATCGGATAAAATGTAAGTCTAGTCGCCCGATGCGTCATTTAATCCAATTAGCTGAGCTGTTATTTAGTAAATATTTGCGAGGGTTCATTGACAGTTCGGTAGCCAGAATCTTGTTATCTTTTACGGTTTTGTATTAATTTGAAGGCAATATGGCCCATAGAATACACATCTGGAGGAGCTAAATGCGATGTCGGTGAGCAAAAAATTCCTCAAATACAAAGGTTGATCATTATTGAATAATAATGAGTTACACAATAATACTCATTATTATTCAACAACAAATTCTCATTTTACAAAGTTAATTTCGTTGCTAAGTTATTAACCCACCATCGGATATGCAGACCGTTGGGTGTATATTATCATCTGTTTCTATTTCAGACATTTTATATTGTTGTATTCGGTACGGAAGCGTTATCTTGTGTCGGAATAGTTAGCAGGGACGTTGAGACGTAGGCGTCGGAATTTAGAGCAGCGTGACGGAGAGAAAGCGTCGTGACGCAGAACGCCAAACGTAGAAGGGTAGAGAAGTAAGAACGTAGGGCGTCAGATGAGATATTGGGAGTCGGATGAAGGGCGTCGGATAAAAGAGATGACGTCGGGACATCGAACGTCGAGCATCGAGACGTGGGAACGTTCGGGAGGTAGGGCTGAATAGCGTTGGATAAAGGTAGGATATGAACTGCGTGGGTTTAGGAAAGGTACTGAACTTGAAGTATACTAGATTTAAAGAATAATACGACTGAAGCTCGAAATCGACTGAACTGAGTTTGATTTCTTAATGCCTTTCGAGTCCCCTTAAATCGGATCTTTATACTCGATTTAATTACTTTTTTGTGACGTCAGTTTCTCGTGTGAACGAATTTGGCTAGATAGGGAGTGGCTGATTTATTACTTGCCTTGAAAGGTTTGTGCATCGAAATCAACGTTCCGATTCAAAACTGACTTAAGATAAATACGTTAAGTGTTTCAATGATTATTACTTCGTGACAACTTATGTTGTATTGTGGTTTTAGATCGGGTTCCCAGACACTTGTAAGAAATTGGATCTCTTACGGGCAGGGTTATAGATATTATTTATTAGGTGTCGTAAATAAGATTTAATTATCTGGTAGATTTTTCGTTAAATGAAGGATTTTAAATTTAATAAGAATGCAACTTTTCTTTAATAAAATGGAATTAATAAATTATTAAGGTACCTGGGTACGGTAGGTTACAGTACACTACGAAGGCATTTCTTGTTGTATTTTTGATGTGGATAGGAACATATAGAAGGAAACTTAAAAAATGTGATACGACTTTGTAGGATTTCCGTGGTTTTGATGTGGGGTTTGCTAGCGCTTTATTTTAACATTTTAGTTTTTCTATAAAATTTGTTTTGTTTCTTTAAATAATGCAAAACTAGCATAATTTATTAAAATTAAAAAAAAAATAATATTATTTTCTGATAAATAGAAATAAGTAAAAAATCTGCATTAAAAAAAAGTTCTTTTTAAATTCTTTATATTCTTTAACAATTTGTATAGTAGCATCTGTTAATTTCCAATCAAATTTATTAAATCAATAAAAAAATGTATATTTTGTGAACTACATCTGCCAACAAAACACAGCAAGCATGTTAATATTTTTATTACTAAATATGAGATCAAATAATGTTAAATAACAGCAATTATTACTCTTCCGGAGTCATAAGTTGCTGCAGATTTAGCCTCCTGTCTTAAAAATTGAAATGAAAATAATATCACATGTGCAGCTTTTGATCGTCCAGTAATCCATTAATTTAGTTGTTTGCCAATTTAACAACGTTGTTGACCTTGTATCCAGTTGCATGATTTTTTAGTTTCGATTTATTCGGTACTATCTTACATCGAAGTTTAAAAAATATTAAAATTAATGTTAAATTTTTTGTTTTGTACGTTTTGGCCTAAATTAAATTAAATTGCGTATACGTAGTTAAAAATAACAATAACTTCCATATCAAAGGAGTAAAATTACTAGTTAACCTTAAAATATTTTCAATGATACCTTAGATTTTTTTTTGTTTAAAAGCTATTCAATTTTAAATATTATTTACAACTAATATTTGCCGCAGCTAGTACTTCTTCCTGTGCTCCAATTTGGTATCCCAGATGATGTTCCTGTCCTGTCTTTTCATTTATGCCCTGTTAATAGTCTATAATTTAACTTCCTCCTCCATATCTATAGTTTATAAATACGATGCGGCATTTTCGAGACGATTTTTAGTTAGGTTATATATTTTTTAGATTGGTCAGTCTTCCGTCCGATTTGTAGACTAGCGTATTAACCTTTAGAAACTTTAAATTCCAATGTAAATAATGTACTGTCTAATGATTATTTTTGGTCTAAAACCAATTACCTTTACCTACTCAGTGGTGTACTTAAATAAAATTATGTAATTTTTGCCATAAGACATCAATCGTTGTTCATATGTAAATGAATGTAGATTATTTTAAATAATTTTAAGGGTGTTAAAAATTCTTATATTTTATCTTTGTTAGCAGCATCATAGTCATTGTCTAACTTTAAAAGCCATTTATCACGTTTATTTAAACATTTAAAAAATGGACACAACATATAGTTATTAAACAAATATGTGTAAATCTTTATGTTATTATTTGAACAAAAATATGTGTTTGTATATTAAATAATTTAACTCAAATTGCTCGTTTTTGTTGTTAAACCTTTCACTCAAATAGCAGTGCGTATGGAGCGTGATAAAAACAAATTAAGGTGCAGCTGATGTAATTGGAGTTTATGGATTATGACAACATTGATTTCATACTATTAAAGGTATAGCCTTCAAAACTTTTTAACAAAAAAAAAATTTGTGTGATTTTGGTGAACTCAGTTACTTCCTATCTATAAGATTTTTTTTTTTCGTTTTCCTCATTACTGGTTATTGAATTTATCTTAAGACTCACATTAACGTTCAGCCGGACAGATAGATTTTGCGTCATCCTAAATAGTAATGGCAGTTTGATTAAAAAACTTAATTTTCCCGCCCTGTTATTATGTTATCCTGACACCAAAATTTTATCAACGAAATTTCTACTTTTGGTACTCTGATCTTTATATCAGGATAACAGAAGAGCAAGGAGGTATGAACAATTTTTATTTGGGCTACGATCTCTATGAAATTAGTCACAGCATTACAGTAAGGGTCGATCTTTTCACCTCTGAGCAAGTAGTTACTTTCAACTTTACTCAGAGGTGAAAAGACTGACCCTAAGAAAATAAAAATAATTTATGGTGTCTGTTTTTCTCTTACTTCGATGTTTTTTGTACCAGTACGTCCACGGACAAACCCTAAAATGAAGTACGTAGGGAGCTCTATCGACCCATGCAAAAAAAACTAATTTTTTTTTATTTTTTCAAAAATTTGGTTACACTTAAAAGAGAGCACCTGTGGGGTGAATGCAGTTGCTTTTCATATAAAAAATTTTAATAATTCCTTTTTCTCGGTAACTAATGATCAAATTACTTGGTTAATTCACACACATGTAGGACAGATATATTAGAGGGCTCTATGCCATTCGTCTCTATCTTGAGTCGTTCAAGTTCTAAAACTTCAAACGCGAATATCTCGGAAACGGTAAGAGATAGAGCAAAATGACCAGTAGATCCACGGACAGACCCTAAAATGAAGTACATAGGGAGCTCTACCGACCCGTGCAACTAATTTCTTTTTAAAATTTTCAACATTTTTTCAAAAGTCCACTTTTCGTCGATTTCAGATTTCATTTCAAAAATTTTTTCGTCTCCTTTTTTGATGCAAATTTGGTTACATATAAAAGAGAGTACAACAACCTATGGGGTGAATTCAGTTGCTTTTGGTCTTAAAGATTTTAATTTTTCGTTTTTCTCGGTAACTCACATAAACGCTCAGCCGGACAGATAGAGTTGCTGCTCACCTCTATCTTGAGTCGTTTAGTAGTTATTAAAGTTAAAAAAATCGTCGATTTTGCGTTACCCTAAATGGTAATGACAGTTTGATTAAGGAATTCAATTTTCCCGCCCTGTTGTACTATATCCGAATAAGAACGAGTAGACATAAAAAATTGTTAAATAAAATTGCGTGTTTGTGTATTAAATAATTTAATTCAAATTTCTAGTTTTTGTTATAAAATCAATATAAAACTAATAGTAGAAGAGAAAATAAAATAAATGATGAGTTGGTGTATGTTGAAGAACTGGTCACACAGTAGTCGTTTTCCAATGTGTCACCTATTGGACAGAGACATTTGCTATTCCTGCACTGGTAAAACTCATTAAGGACTTTTGTACAGGATTCTTCATTCATACATGGATCTCCATATCCTAAAACAAACAAATGAATTTATCATGACTTTTTGATACCAAACGTTATACTTTTTATGACAAATAGGTAAGTTAAATTCAGACACATATGTTTGTGATAATACAACATATGTGTCTGCTGTCAATTTTGTTTAAAATATACGCAAATTTAAACGCGGTTCATCATGCCAAATCTATTAAGACACGAGCGGTAAGTGGGAGTGAGATGGGAGTGAGATGGGAGTCGTTTGTTTGGACGCCGCGCTGATCAGCCGGTCTTTATACCTTGTCAAATTTATTGTAAAATAGATGGTTTGCTTTTAGTTTTCCTGCAGTGTTGTGGTTGGGTCTGCGCCACTTTCGACTCTTACCATGTTTTACCCAATACAGTTACTTGCCCTTCATAAGGCCAACATAATGCTGGGCCTGTATCGAAAGGTCAAAAGTAGGCTTTTATCTTTAATTGTCGCATTTATTTTCCTTTAATTACAGCAAAAGGACAGCAATATCCCGACAATGGGTACATGGATATGCAAGAGTGTATTGTATGTACAAATTATACTGAGGGTTATCAGATTCCGGAGCCTTCAGGAGCACATTAAACACTCCATGTTAATTAACATAATAGTATTCCCTTAAATGAAATATTAAACGAAAACTTACTTTTAGATTTCCAACACACACCTTCAACGTCCATATATCCATCAACACATGTGCATTTTCTTTGCCTTTTATCGCATTCGGAAAATTTAAAGTTTTGACATTGTTCCGATACTTCACATACGTCATTCCAATTTTCAGCAACTATAAAGCAATAAATAATATGAAATAAAATGTACTGTTAAATAAAAAATCCACTTACTTTTAAGACATTGTTTCTTGTAATTCAAGTAGTTTTTATTACATTTACAAACACCTTGTAAACAATGGGAGTTTTCGGTTTGAGAACAGGACTGAATTAAACATGAACCCTCCAGGTCTGTAAACAAATAATAAATGGTAAAATATTTGTTAGAAATTAGTCAAATCTAAACTTACCAGGTTGACAGATTAGCTCTTTATCTGTAGAAAAATGCTCGATGCAAACACACTTTTCATATTGACATCGTTCATTGAAAGGACAATCTGAATCTCTTAAACACATAC